AATGACTAAGATTTTGAATTCAATCATTGCAAAGGTCTTGGATAAATTTGGCAGTTTAAACAGAAATTAGTGCCTGTAAATAAATCCAATTCAACTGTGTCAAATATTCGCAGATATTCATGACTTACATGAGCGTTAACATTTTTTAACCACCGCGGACAATTTTCCAAGAAAAATGAATAATATTCCAAATCTAGAGAATATTCTTTGAAAGGTATACAGGAGATTAAATCCAGGTCAGAACGTCATTCCTGTCAAAAGTATTCCTAAGAACCGGTGCGCTATGTTGGACTTCGAGTTTTCAAAGAAATCACGTTAATCCGTGGCATCCAGTGGAAGATTCTTTCGAGTTAACAATATGCAAAAAAAATCGGGATCGACCGTTTTGTTGAACAAAATATTATAAAAGTTCGCAGATTTCAAACATAAGATCTATTTAAGTATGTATTGTTGCGAAGTAAGTCAAGCAAAAATCAACAACTTCAAAAGTCGCCAGAAAAAAAACAACCAGGAATCTGCATGGGGACAAAGAAATATCGAGGAAATGAAATATTTTTGTGTTCGGCTGTTCTGATCTTTTTGGAACAATTAAAAGTAGTTACAATGCACTAGGTGTGCCTTAAGGCAAGTTGCCTGAACTTCCTGATATATGAGAAAAAGAATCATGACATATAAAAACCATGTTGTTAGAAATTGTTGTTAAAAATCTTGTAGAAAATGTAAAATTGTGCCAAGTGTTAAATACGAAGAAACTGCTTGTTCCACCTTTACTAAAAATTAATCAACAAAATTCCAGAGTCATATATTTCTAAACCTTCATAGTAACGAAGATCTTTACCAAAAACTTTGTCACCATAATTTACAGCTAATATTTTTTGAGCGATTTCTGAATTTTTAAAATATGTTCAGGATTTTTTTACGAAAAAGTTGTCATTTTTTTAAGTTGAATTTTAAGTTAATAAAGAAACTGCTAGGCTGATCATTATGCACAATTTATAAATGTAACTCATGTATTGAGATGTAATAAATTATATATTTTTCAAATTGTCTTACAAAGAAACTGTCCAGCATATCTTAACAAAAAAGTAATAGGCACTACTAATAACAAATATCATCTCCTAAACGGTTTCAATTTTTTTTAAATCAGTTCTGAATTTTTTTACACAAAACTTGATCTTTTTTTTAAATTAGTTATTGAAAGCAAAGAAACTGCTCGACTGATTAGTAATTATTAAGTTATAACCAACTTTAATCGTTTTCCCATCGAATATTTTTAATTATCAAAACACTTTATAAAAAAAATCTCGTACAGTTACAAAAAAACTGTTCAGCAGATCTTTACAAAAAAACTCATCGACATAATTCACAACAAATATCGATTTCTACATTTTTGAAATCACTTTAGAATTTTCTTACGCAAAGAGACTGTTCGACCGATCACTATGCAAAACTAATAAATACAAATAATTTATTGAGTTTTTATAAATTAATTTCAAAATATGAATATTGGTGAAGTCATTTTCGAATTATAGCAAAAAAAAATTTGGTTTCTCAATATTTTCTGACTCTAGGGGAGCTAGGGCCTTTTTGTAACTGGGGTAAGTAGTAGGTATCAGACGTTTTTCAATAGAATCTTAAACGATAATAAAATATTTTTTTTATTTCGATTAGACATATATTTACTGTCCTGCATAATAGCTACTGTCCTGCATGCAGAAGTGTGCGGGTGTGTCATTATTGACAGGCAATATAATTAATATAATATACAATATAATTAGTCTATCATGAAATTTCGGTTTGCATTATTATTATCGAATAAATTTAAATTGTATTAATCTTATTTTTTCTCACATATTACTGTTATTATCTGTTCAACTCTAATTCAATTATATTAAAAAAAAACTAGTTTTATTTTAACGGTTTCAAATCTCTATTTTTTTTCAATATAAATGTATTTGTGCTTCTTCTCCTGGTTGGTATAAATTGAATTTTTGATTATTAAAATTAGAATATAATAGAAATATTATTAGGATTTTATTAAATTTTTCTCATTATTAATATAGCATATTTTTAGCTGAATGATGAGACGCATATGATTCTCGAAACGTACTTTTAAAAAAAATGATTTTTATATTCTATTTCGACATTAGATGCTATAATAATTTCTATCATAATTTCTTTCTTCTTTTATTTTATTCAAACCCGCATCAATATAATACTATATTAAACCTAACTATTTTATAAATTGAGGCCTAAGGTGATTTTCATTTAGGACATGAAACCTCGATCGATTGAAGGTTGTCAAACAGATTGAATTTACTTCACAGTAAATTAGCTAACAATAAGATAAATCCAAGTTTTCTTGTATCCATAAAAAATGACAAATGTTTTCCTTAAAATGTCGTTAAATTCCTAACCCTACCATACAAGTAACAAATTAAATTCAGATAAAATTTCGCCTCTTGTTATTTTTTCCACAACGATACCTTTCTCCCTTTTATCCGTGCAACTTTTTTTTCTAATCGCTAATGTTTATCCAACCGCTACTTATAAACAACACTTTTATTTTGGGTTTGTGCCAAACTGTTTGGGTCTTTTAAGCCTCCGCCTTACCTCTAGTATTGGAGGTATCATATAATGTGCCCTGTAGATTAATTCCTGTATTTTTTTATCAAGGGTAAAGGGACCCCTTTGTATTGTGTTGTGCCATTGATATCGATACGGGGATAATCCTGCTTTGCCAGGAGTGCGGTCCTAGAGGTAAAAGCAGTGATGGTAAAAGATCCAAAATACCTAACAGTTGTTATAGTGAAGACAAGTAACAGTAAATAAAATTGTGAAGCGAGTTGAAACAGTAAATTTACAGAAGATAAATTAAATAAATTGTTATTCTAACTCTGATAATAAATACTTCTGATAAAATTTCAGGCGAAGGTTTTGGACAGCGTGATTTTTCTCAAAAATGTACCCATGAATTTGGTATCGCAAACAAAAGTTGCATTTATCTTGTTTATAACAATTGTATTTCCAAAATCCATAAGTCTGATTATGATATAGAAATATCTAACAAATCAAGAATTATGATGGCAGTAAGAGTTGATAAATATTTTTGTTTATTTTGTTTAACAATATATTTTTTTACTAAATTTTGTGTTGTTCCTAGCAATTAAACCACATTGGATTAATTAAATGATGTTTCTACAATTTCGTAAAACCCCTTTAAAATTTTAAAACAAATATTAGATCTTCTTGCCCTCTAGCTGTTCCTTTTAACCCTACCTATTGGGTAAAAAGAGACAGATTACACAATCTATAAAAATAGTAAAACAACATATTTCTATAATGATGAACTAGAATTTTACTGAAGTTTATTTGATAAGTGTTATGAATACTGATGTAGTTGATTTGGTTTTCACAGTATAGTTGCTAAAAGTCGAATTTGACCTTTGTGCCCCGCCCTTATTTAAAACAACCTTTATGATCAGTGTCCGATAGATTTTTACCCCAGTCTGTTTTTAAAATCATTTTGCATCCTACGTTCCAATTGTGAAAAATTTATTCAGCCTTGTTAGTTATTTATTTGTATGGAAATATAGAAGTAGCAGGCATTATTTTCGCAATATATGTTCAATCAATTTTCCTGCTCATTTAATAATTGCAGCAAAATGTTCTTCATCTATGTCTTCATCAATCCACTTTATCTTTTATAATTTTTCAAACAATTTCCATCGTATTTCTTAGTAGCCCATATTCCTGATCTGATAAATAGATACTAAAATTTACCGCACTGAGCTCTTTGGCCAGCTTTGAGGTTTCCTCCCATTATTATGTGGCTCACGGTACATTTAGAGTTTGCCAAACCTGGTATAGGCTCAAGTACGTCAGTCATTCAGCTTAAAATAACAAAATGCCTACCGCTGTACAAAATGTACAAACAGCCAAAGTGTTCTAAAATCAGTGATGAGGAAAAATATATCGGCACGACATTGACACAATAAAAAATTAATACTTGTATATATATATATATATATATATATATAAATGTACATATTTTATATAGGTATATTTTTCTCCGTCACCACAGAAAAAGATTATCGGAGCGAGGTGATGACTTGTCATGCGTGAGTTGAGTTCGAAAAAAAAAATCGTACAGAATATAAAATGCTATAAAAACATTCACGGATACCGAATACCGGTTCAAGACCGTTTTGCAAAACTGTGTTATTGTTATTCTTCTGTTTTTGTTAAAGTTAGATCTCTCTCTTCTAAGCTGTGTACAATTTTTATTTCCTATACTGATGTTTTTGCTAATCGTAAGAAGATCTGGATTTAAGAAACTGATTCTAAGTTGGATACATTTTTTCCGGGTATTTTATAAACCATAGGATATAAATTTTTTTTGAGAAATATTTGACTATTGAAGGCCTACAACATTTTTACTTATCTAGAGCATCGGTCAGGGAACTTTTTTAATCATTAACCCAAAATATATTTGTCTAAGTTGATATTACCCACATGGTAAAGATATACTACCCTCATAAGGACAACTACGTAGCAGATACAGTAAATATCGAATAAAAATACTTTACCTCCCAAAATTCCATTTTTATCCCATTTGGGGTAATTTACGCCGGTTTCCCGACCACTGGTTTAGAGGATTCAAAATCATAGCGCATTCATAAATTTATTTTGCATTATGGATTTTATTTCTGAATATAATAGTTTACTGACAATTTATCACAGACATGTATCTTCGGCAATCTTGTCGAAATTCGTCGAAATTCGTGCCATTTTAAGATTAGATTTTAGAAGTTAAGACAAAGTTCTTTACCACCCACTCATAGGATTATTCAACAAAAGAGATCGGTAACATAACACAATTATTTTATCTGTTCCCTAACTTCACAGTAGTGCTGATAGTAAACCCATCCAACCAACTTTTCTATCATTTATCATTTTCAATTTCTTTTAAATAAAATGTCCTTACCAGCAGCCGCAACCGCGTTCGCCTTTCCCGTCAGATAGTCGTCCTTGCAAACAAACTTATTGTCATCCAGAACGTACAATTGTTCACCCGTCGACAATTGTTTGCGGCAAACAAGACACGTGAAGCAGTTCAGATGGAAGACCTTGTCCCTAGGTTTCCTGACCAGGTCCGAAGGAGCGATTCCTTGACCACAACCACTGCATTTCGTACCGTATCGCCTGGTTAAAGGACATATTAGATAATGGTATGAAGAATTATTTTGATTTTTTATTATTACCTAAAGAAGTCGTTCCGACAGAACAGTTTCGCTTCCCTGGAGAAGCACTTGTCCGTCAGAGGTTGCAAACAGTCACAACACCTCACACAACTGGCGTGCCAACCTCGTTCGAGAACGTTCAGGAGGAATTTGTCCAGGATCGGTTTGTCGCAGCCCGCACATGGGGCCGCGAGACCCAACGGAGGAGGCTCCGCTCTACCTAGAAAGAAAAAAAAATAAAATCAGTATATTTCATTTTTTTACAAGATACTTTTATGGATAGTTGAAAATCTTAACCCTTTCGCTACGAGAGTGTTTTCCGCAGGAATGTCGCTGCTGTACGGAACAGCGTGTGTCTTAGTAGCGCCACTGAACTGGCTAGACACAACTAGATATTTATTTTAAGATATTTCTATCATTATTAATTAAAATGTATTAAAACATTAAAAATTATGTTTCTGATGAACTAAACATTACAATAAAACACAAAAATTCTCACAAGCTTAACTCATAGTGATAAATCTTGAAGCAAATACAAACGTTATGTCGGATGGATGATACTCCTACATGGATGTCGTCCATGAACGACACTCGTACATACAGCACGTCACATAGATTAGTCCAGTCATTATAGTAAGCTCACTTCGGAATTCGAGATACCCAGATGTAAGTCTGTAAATACTTGTAGATCGACACCCTAAAGTTGTCTCAAAACCTACATAGAGTATTGATACCCTACCCTATGTAGGTTTTGAGACAACTTTAGAGTGTCAATATACAAGTATTTACAGACTTACAGCTGGGTATCTCGAATTCCGAGATCATTACCTAATTTAAGCTTAAATGACTGGACTAGATGTCGTCCATGGACGACACTCGTAGCGAAAGAGTTAATTTCATAAGAAGATTATAATTATTAATTGAATTACAATTTGAATCAAATAATAGTAGTGAGTCTAAGAGGTCTCATCTGGTCAATCTGGTGTGAACTTGCTCAATCATTTTCAACTTTTGGTAGGATTAGTTACGAGATTTTATTGAAATAAATACAATTATTTTCCTAATTTTTATTTCATTATTTGGAAATATTTTTTGTAATTAGTTTATTTTATATTTTTAATATTTTAAGTCAATATTATTAAATGAGAAGTTATAAGGATTAATTCAATAATGATTATTTTCAAAATATTATTTGGTTATGATGAATATTTATAATGTTTGTAAGATTTGTTAAATAACAGTTAAATCAATAGTTAAATAATGTGATGTAGGTATAGTAAAATATAATGAATAGGTGATGTATAAAAATATTTTTAATTGTACTGTTAATGTTTATGTTTTCTATATTAATAATAATGATTATTAGAAAAAAATTATTAGGTTGAGATAGTTCAAGGTTAGCTTCTTATTGTTTAGTTATTTATTATAACTACACAAAATATTGTGTATGAAAATTACAAGAGCTTTAATTATTTAAATAATATAACACTTGTAAAAATAAAACCTACTATAAGTAAGAAGAGGTACAAAATATTATTTGAAAGAAAAAATTGTAAATAGTTTAAAAATATAATATAAAACTCATTTATTCATAAATAAAAATAAATTTAGCTCTTAATAAAGTAAATGTAAACGCCACATACAAGGGTGAAAAGGTTCAGGGTGAAAATATAGTATATTTTAAAATATATGTTTGGACTATTGCAAAGACTAAAATAGTACAAAATATTTATAATAAAAAAACAAAATATATAAAAAGTGCATAATATATAATAAAAAATATGCTTTATCTAAAATCGAAAATATTGTATGTCCTAAGTAAGTAACGAGTAAAAATATTAAGTTAAAGAGTATAAACTATCATAAAAGTGCATTATTAATAAAAATGTAATATTTAATATAAACAAGATAAATTTATTAAATATCAAAATGATGAATGTGCAAAACAGCAACATCATTAAACAAAAAACAAATTAACTAAAACAACAAATAAGTACACATTCATCTTATACAAATCGCAAGTACATTATTTTCTCATTTCCTATTTTTTACATCGAGAGAACGAGTTCGACTCGCACTTTTTTCTCATAGTAATAATAAAAAGATAGTTTATTCAAATAACTATAATAATTTTAAACACATACTAATAGACAGTATAAATTTCATAACAGCCATTTCACGCTGTCATTTGCATATAAATGTTAATTTTATTCCGAAGCATAGTTTAAAAAAATTATACTAACACGCAGAGAGCGTTGACAGAAGCATAAAATCGATATTTATAAGTAGATCGATAATATATATATATATATATATATATATGATGCTATGATGTAATTTATTTAGTTCAGACAGTGTAAATACATAAAGTTAAATTGGACCTTTGTGGTATACCTAATGGCTTCATATCATATATACAATAATACCCACAAAGTCAATTTCTATTCCAGATTATATTAGAGATCTATAACCTCAAGTGTAATTTTGGTACCACGCTGCTTGGTATCGAGTTGACAGAAGTTGCAGTCAAAGCTGAGAGAAGTTTGTGCTTTAGTATTAATTATTTGGTGTTTAATTCTAGCAATCCTTAATCAATTTTTTCTTTCAAACGAAAACTGAAACGTGTGGCTTTTAACTTCAAGTCTAATGATACTGCTTGATCGCGAACTGACAGGATCGCGATCGAAGTTGGAACTTGTTTGTGTGTCAATATCAAATATTTGAAATTTAATTCTTCTTGTAATCCTTTATCAATTTTTCCTTTCAAACAAATATTGAAACGTGAGGTTTCTAATGTGTTTGCAGTCAAAAACAAAGGACAACATTTGAAACCCAATAAAAATCATGGTCACCCAGCCTAATGATACAGTTTATCTCATCGATGCCTTAAAAATCGACATTTTTTTTAAATGCATCCACATCTTTTTCCCCAAACTGGTTTGATGGTCCCCGATGCGAGGTAGCCAGCGTCGACGGGGCGTCAATGTATTGATTTAATATCGTTTAATTCGATAATTACACAAAATCGATATAAAAAATGTTGAATTCGGAAGATGAAAGAATACGAACTTTTACATTTTTATGTAAATTTGATAGTTTTAAGCCTTCCAGCCATTATGCGTGAGATAATTGATGCGTTGCGTATTAATAATTCTGATGTTTGGTAACTGACGGTATGTTATTAAATTATAAATATTATTATACGGGAATAAAAACAAATGGTTTCGAGTTAAATAATTAATTGAGGCCGGTTTGAAAGGATCTATTGGTAATAATATATTTTTAACAAAATTAAAGTATTTTTTGGTATTTAATTATTTTGATAATGTACGAGACATCCTCGATTTGCAAACACTAAGACGCCAGGGCGTGGTATATTTTGAGAATCCTAATGAAAATAGGTGTATGAGGCATTTTGCCTTGAGACAAGTAACCAACACTTCCATATAATTTACATAATCAACAAGAATTGTGATGTAACATTGTCAAGATACAATTTTGAAATCTTGCTCATTATTCCAAATTTTGATGATTTTTTTGATAATTACTTGTTGTAGGCCTATAATATTCTAAGATACTCGTTAAAACCTTGAACTCTACTATCATCCAAAGTTTCATCAAAATCTTTATAACAAATATCATGAATTAATTACAAAAAATTGGTGCAGCCTTTTTCGAGAAAACATCGAAAAATGGTAAAAATTTAGCTCATACACAATTTTTCAATTCATTTTTTTTTCAATTTTGGTGTCAAACAATTCAGAATGACTTGAAACGTCGAGAAAACATAACATTAGCAATTCAGATATAAACTTCTTCTTCAAAATCTTTATAACAAATAACATGAATTAATTACAAAAAAGTGCAGCTTTTTTTGAGAAAACGTCCAAGAATAGTAAAATTTTGGCTCACATTCACCCTTGCAGTCATACACACATTTTTTCAATTTTGGTATCAAACGATTCAAAATGATTTGAAACATCGAGAAAACATAATATTAGCAATTCAGATTTTTTGGCGAAAATATAAACTTTTTCTTCAGAATCTTTATAACAAATATCATGAATTAGTTATAAAAAATTGGTGCAGCCTTTTTTAAGAAAACGTCTAAGAATAGTAAAATTTTGACTCATTTCAAACGATTCAGAATGGCTTGAACATATTGACATAACATTAGCAATACAAATTTTCTGACGAAAATATAAACTATTCCTTCGCTTCAATATTCCAATTATTTAATCCAAAAGTCAACTCCTATAAGTCAATTAAGTAATATTGTGGGTAATAGATTTCGTATTTTAAAACTAATAAGGTAACAACTATTATTATGCATTACAATGTCAATTATAAACCAAGACAATAATTATTATAAAATTATATTTAAATATAGAATACAACCATACGGTTAACCATTAAACACCACCATCCAACTTGGTCCATAAGTAATTTCCAAGAAACAACTTTATCCTAATACCTCCTAATTTTTATTGCCAAATATCAATATTTAACCCAATTTTCCTTTCCCTCAGTCATTACAAACCCATAATTATCTTAAACATTTTACCTTCTGACCATTCACGATTTTTTAGCTTGTAAAATTATTTCCTTGCCGAGATTTTTTTAATAGAGGTCGCATAACAGTATGTTTGATTTTATTTTGAGGTTCCTTTTTGCTTTTGTTTTTGATAATTGAGAGAGTTTTGAATAAAAAATACGCTTTTGATAACCGACTTTTTTGGCATAAATCAATATCCTAATAACACAACATTTAACGGGAACCGAAGGATAATGGGCGAAGGATAATTTGGATTATTTTTAAGTTGGTAAAATTCAGTTAAGAATATATAATATTCCTAACGGAACGTACATGGTTAATATTTTTATCGTTAATTTATAGATAATATTTTTATGGATTAGGTAAAAAGATCAAGGCAGTCTTTTACGAAAAAAGAACGCTACTGACGAGCAAACTCATGGTCAGTCTTGAGGAAGAAACTAATAAAATGATGAAATTTGGAGTATGGCTCTGTATAGATCAGAGATATTGACTTTAAAGAAGGCTGGCAAAAATTACCCCGAGAGTTCAAATGAACCAGCAAGTTACCAAATGAAGAAGTACTTACGAGTACTTGGTAAGGACGACAATCACTAAAGGTTGTAATTGTGGAAAAAAAGGAAAACTGGACTGGACTCTTAATTAAAAAAAGTGTCTTCTGGGTTATGCCATTAAAAGAAAAATAGAAAATCTAAATAGTTGAGGATGAAGAGGAATGCAAGTGATAGACTTCTACAAGAAGAGAAAATACCTGGAATTGAAGAATGGAAGACAAAGCTCAAGGCCAGGAGAATCAAACCAGAAGTTTGAGAAGTAAAAGGTAATACATTTAAAAAAAAAACAAGAAAAGATGGTCAAATTAAATGTAGTGCTATCATACATATCAAGAATCTGTCTTGAAGCACCATAAAATAATAATTCAGATGGTAACATTTTAGAGAATGTAATTTATAAATAATATTGTCGACGTAGATGCTAATCAGTATCAATTGTTATGAATTTTTTGAAACTGAGCAAAAAGTAGATCTTTAAATCCTGACAGACAGGATTATTTGTATTTTTTGCATCCAACTT